CGAAACCAAGGCTGAAGGTGTAACCCTACTACGACTGCTGTGTAGCCAAGTCGTCAACCCAAGAAGCGTCTGCGTGACCAGTGAGGACAACTGGACCCCGTCCTCCAAGCACGAGCCCCATGCCCGATGTACTGCACAAGTAACGCAGTACCCTCTTCGCAGCATCCCAGTGCACCTTTCGGTGCCTACCGGAAGCCACGTAGCAAGCCAGAAGGCTGAGAGGGTACGCGAGGTCAGGTTGTGTGCACGTCATCAGGTACATGAGGCAACCCACAAGCTCTGGGTACGGACCACTCGGCTCTACGGACTCGTCCGAAGGTGGAGCTGAGAGCAAGTGGCCGGTAGACAGAGGAGTGGGCTGTGGCGAGGAGAACTGGAAGCCGAAGCGCTGAAGGACCTGGTGCACCATGTGTGACTGAGTCAGGGTGATGGTGCGCCGTGCTCTGTCCCGGGTGATCTTCAAGCCAAGATAGCTGCGCAGTTCACCCAGGTCAGTGCAGGTGTGTCTCTTCTGCAGCTCCGACTTCACAAGGGTCAGTGCCTCAGTGTTAGCAGTGGCAAAGACCAGGTCATCGACATCGACGAGGACGTAGAACGGCGGCAGCGAGGTGTCGGTGCGTAGAAACAGCGACGGGTCAGCAGTAGAAGGAGCAAACCCAAGAGCCGCAAGAGTAGTCCTCAGCGTGTCGTGCCACTCGTGAGGCGCTTGGCGGAGACCGTAGAGTGGCCGGCGGAGACTCCACTGGGTACCTGCAGGAAACGACACAGTGAAGCCAGGTGGGCGACGCAGCCAGATCTCCTCGTGCAGGCTGCCCTGCAAGAAAGCTGTATTGAATTCCAAAGATTGCAACTCGTAGTCACGCTGAGCAGCGACGTGCAGCAACACCCAAAGAGTGGTCATCTTCGGGGTGGGGGAGAAGGTCTGGAAGTAGTCGACCCCCTGTCGCTGACTGAAGCCTCGGGCAACGTAACGCGCCTTGAAGGCAGGCGGAGAACCCGACGGCCGCTTCACCCTAAAAATCCACATGCCATCGACTAAGTTCGCCCGAGATGGGGGAACTGCGTCGACGTAGGTGCCTGTGGACTTCCAGGATGCCATCTCGGCATCCATGGCTGCCTGCCACTGAGAGGAGTAAGGACCTGTAATCGCCTCTGCGTAAGAGCGCGGGGTCGGGATGTCTGGTGCATCCGGGTCTCCCTCGGGGGCAAGCAGCATGGAAGCGAAACGAGGTACAGCAGCTGTAAGACACTCAAAGTCCTCCTGCCTGTCCTCAAGAACGTCCGTGCCAAGAGCACACTCACCCCCGACGGACGGAGGACTGGCAGACTCAGACTTAGCAACAAGAGTAGTGGCGTAGTCTAGACGACAGGCAGCAGCAAATTCAAGCAGCTCAGCAACGAGGGCAGACGCAGCAGTGGACTCAAAAGAAGGGTCAGTAACAACAGGGGCGAGGAGACGAGAGACAGTGGGACTAGCAGCACGCACAAGGTCAGACTCAGGGTCAGGGACGGCAGGAAGAACGGACTCAGGAGGAGGCGGTAGAGGAACATGCAGTGGAGCAGAGGAAGGATGAAGTGCCATAGCATGCGTGCCGGGGACAGGAGGAGGACGCAAACGAGGAACGCGACGAGTAGTGCGAGCAGGCAAGACAGGACGAGACACAAGCTCACGACGCTCTATAAGACCGCCGGACTGCTCAAAGTAGGGAGAAGGAGCAGGCAGTGGGGAGGCTGGCTGTAACTGCGGCTGCGACTGGTCAGGCGGTGGACACAGTAGGGGAGGAGTAAGGCTAGTAGAAGACAGGACACCAAGACCCTGCTGAAGCAGGGGAACGAAGTACGGGCGCGGCCGCACAGTGCCTCCAGCACCAGTACCACCAGCATCCCCAGCTCCAGCACCTCGAGCTCCAGGGTCAACAGCTCCAGCTCCTCCAGCTCCAGCGCCTCCCGCGCCAGTGCCTCCAGCTCCAACTCCTCCCGCGCCAGAGCCTCCAGCTCCAGCTCCTCCAGCCCCAGCAACTCCAGGCTCCGTAGGGTCTCCAGCTCCAGCGCCCCCAACACCACCAGTCTCGGCAGCTCCAGTACCCCTGGTACGAGCACCTCTAGGACCAGCAGCCGTAGTACCTCCAGTACCACCAGCTCTAGCAGTAACTCCAGCACCTCCAGCTCCAGTGTCTCCAGTGGATCCAGCTCCGGCAGCTCAACTCCGAAGGCGTGCACGCCGAACAAGCCATTCTCGCAGCTGCTGCGGGGAGAGAGGCTCCTGTCGGGGAGACAGTCGCGGCGAAGCACTAGTAGGACCTCCAGATGAAGCAGCACCCCGAGACTCAGCACCCCCAGAATCCGCACCCTCAGACTCAGCACCCCCAGGCTCAACACCCTCAGGCCCAGCACCCCCAGGCTCCACACCCTCAGGCTCAGCACCCCCTGGCTCCGCACCCCCAAGCTCAGCACCCCCGGACCCGGCACCCTCAGACTCAGCGCCCCCAGGCTCCGCACCCCCAGGCTCCGCACCCCCAGACGCAGCACCTCGAGCAGCACCTGAGTCGCCAGCTACCTCAACAGGCACAGTACCAGGGAGAGGGTCTACCTGAGACACACCTGAGGGAGCAGGACCCTGGGGCGGGAGGGGGTCTACCGGAGGGGGACCGGGGGCAAGGAAGAGCGGCGGGGGCGGGGGAGGGGCAGAGCGGTAGGGGAAGAGACGGTAAAAGGGAACCGACTCATCAAACGTGGCGTCCTAAGAGGGGGAGACACGGCGCAAGGTGGGGTGGTAAAACTGCCAGCCAGGCGCGTCCGGGGGAAAGCCAAGGAAGACGCAGGGGATAGCACGGGCGGAGAGCTTGTCCGCCGACGTATCGCGAACAAAGGCACGAGAGCCCCAGACCCGGAACACCGACGCATCGCCAACCTCCCCCGTCCAACGCAGTGTGGGCGAGGTCTCCAGCAAGGAGACACGTGGCCAGAGGTTGAGCTGATGCACAGCGTACCGGACCGCAAACGGCCACAAAAAATGGGGAGCAGCCGCATGGATCATGGAGGTACGAGCGACCTCCATGACCAAGCCAATGCGGCGCTCAGCAATCCCATTTTGCTGAGGGGAGTCCGGAAGCGAGAACGACTGGAGGATGCCCTCCCCACGACAAAATCCCCACAAGAGGTCGGAGGAGAACTCACCACCTCTGTCAGAGTGCAGACGCAGGACAGGAAGATCCTGGTGGAAGCGCTCGCGGAGCTGGAGACGTACTGCGCGGATCCAAGGGATCAAGACATCAACGATCTCACCCTTGCTGCGCAAGGGGAAGACCGTGTTGTACCGCGTGTAGTCATCAACGACCAGCAGAAAGTAGCGCTCGCGGCCCTGTCCACTGACGCGGGCTGGGCCACACACGTCCATGTGGAGAGTCTGCAAGGGAGCAGTCGTTGGGGGAAACGAGGAGGAGTGAGGAGCGGCGCGCTGCCGCCCCTCGGCGCAAGGAAGGCAGGGCGAGGCAGGCGAGGACGGGAGGGGAGGCAGAGTCCTGGGAAGACCAGAGACAAGGAGGCGGGAGTGCATGCCACGCAGGCGTGGCAGGGAGGTGTGACCCAGACGGTGGTGCCAGAGGAGAGTCTTGTGCGACAGGAGGCGACACGAGCAAGGGGGTGCTTCCTGACCTGACGCGGACACCTGGGCCGACGCAGCTACCTGAGGAGGCTCGGTAGCCAGTGTGTACAGACTCGACCCTGGCCGACGAGTGAACGTGGCCAGGTGACGACCCGTCCGTGTACACGTGCAGATCGACACACGCTGACCCCCAGGAGTGGTGATAGTGACCATTGAATCATGGAGGGCAGCTGTACTCACATATTGCAGAAAGTGCTAGGTGAAAACGGCAATTGGGCTGAGACGGGAACCTCGTAGTGCATCCTATTGGCTCTCTACCATTTAAAACATTATTATTCCTTCATATACACGACCAATTCAGAATAGAGAAAAGTTGCTCTGAGTGTGTTGTCCGATAACCTGCGTGTCACATTGTCCCACTCGACACACGCACCTCCGTGCTCAAGTTCGTTTCAGCGGTTCATGCTTGGACGTGAGGGCGATCCGGGAGTACTCGCATCGTGTCGCATGATTCTATTGTGGTGCTTATGGTGAATGATTGCTGATGTGGCAAAAGTCGAAGCGTGCCCAATCGCGTTATCCTACAAACTCCAGGACGACAAATGCCCCCCAACGACCATCCCAAAGAACAGCTCCTGCCTGGGTTCGGCTTGAGCGACTAGCCAGCCAGCTAACATCTGTCGCATTCACGGGAACCGTATCTTCAAGCGAAAACTTCTGCGACTGTTCGATTGCCGTAAGACGACTCAGTTTCGTCGATGGCAACCGCACCGCCTGAAGTGGATGAGCGCTGCGACACATCATTTTTCGCCACACAATCACAGTGTCCTTTGGACCATCTGCGATGGGTCGCACATGCGCTGGCGGCTTGGAGCCCATAACAGAAGGGGCGATCGCATGCTAACGAAGCTGACGGAACGACGACACTTACCACCTGCCAACCAAACCTACAGGGGCTCATTCCGTTTCGAATTCTCTATCTTCCAAACCTGTCGCTCAGACGTCAGATAGTAGTCATTCCCACTTCGAAATAATCGCAGGAGATTTCGGAGCATCCAGCCTCTATCGCACGACAAGTGAGGAGCAACCAGGAGGTGACGGAAAAGTGGCAATCTCGAGGGGTCTGCGAAACCCAAGGAAACAATCTCTAGGTTCAACCAACCCAGCCCGCACAACTGGAACGAAGTATTTCCTGCTCTCAGATCAAGGTAAAAAGCGTTTCTGATATCACGGCCTGGGGTTCTCAGACAAACACCCTAAACATTAGTAGGACCCTAGAGACAGAGTTAGCCGTGTAATTTCACCCGCGCGGCGACATTTCCGCTTACTCTGCTTTTAATCTATCCGTCGTGTGAAGGAATAAGGGGAGTGCCTTTGATTTTCCTTGTCCGTGAAGATGGCTGCTGCTCCAGGTCTCCGGAACAGCGTGAGTTGCGGTTCAAGGCGGGTTTTGCGGACGACATTTCGAAGTTCTGCTCACTCCACATGCGTTTTGTTTTCTCTCACTGAAGCTCGCGTCATTTTCTTTCGTCAGGTGATTAACTACAGCGAGATCTGAATTCCATCGTTCCGAATCCCATGTCCCACTGTCCCACTCCCAACAGGCCCCACTGGCAACGCTAGCAAATCTTTCCACTGGTCTCTCTGCGCCACGTGTCGTCTCCGTCACTGCTCTGAACAGCAGCGCACGTCTCGCGACAGTGGCCTGTTCTTATGACGTGAAAGGCGGCGGTGACAGTCAGGAGGACAGCAGCAGCAACGGCAGCAGACGCAGCAAGAGAAACAGCAGGAGTAGCAGAGCTAGCAGGAGAGGCGCATCTGCCGACGGAGGACGGGAAAACGCAATGGCGGTCGGGGAAGTGACCGTTGGTTTGTCGGGAAAGCTGCCTGCTTACGGGCTCGGTAACGGTGTGGACTACGGCTTGGAGCACGATACATGGCAGTGGGGCCCGGTGAGACCGCAACAGCAGCAGCAGCAGCCGGCGTCGCCGCCGCAACCTCCGCCGCTTCAGCTGGGAGGTCTAGATCCCGAGGGCTGGCAGCCGTGGGGCGTTGATCGTCAGCAGCAGCAGTCGGTCGTTCAGCAGTCGCAATCGCTGTCGCAGACGTCGCAGCCGGCGTATGGTGTTTGGTCGACGCGAAGCATGTACCCTCCTTCTCCATCAAACGCACATCATCATCAGCAGCAGCAGCAGCACCAGTTTCCGAGCCTGCGTCAGAATTACCAACCCCATCCCGAGCCTCCTGCGTCGCCGTCTATGTCCCCTTCGCTCGGCCCTTCCCTGTCGCACATACGATCGCCATCCTTGTCGCCATCGCTGTCGCCCGCGTTGTCGTCGCGTTCGACGCCGCCGGCGTACCATCGCACGCGTCTGTCGGAGCCAACTCCGACGACACGTCAGCAGCAGCCCGCGCTGGCGTGGCATGACGTCATGGCGGAGCTGGTGCGCCGCGGGCAGCTGACGACAGCCGTTGATGTGTTAGAACAGGCCGTTGCTGACGGGACACAGTTCGAGCCGCTCTCGCCTCTCTCTCTATCCGAACGACCGAGCTCCACCGCCACGTCGGCAGATCCTCCCAGCACGGCGGCGGTGCGCAGCCTGTTCGCGGCGCTCCAGAAGGCGGGCGGCCCGGCGGAGCAGGACAACTGGCAGCGCGAGGGGCGGCACCTCTTGGGGCTCGCGTCGCGGGCATTGGATGCAGTCGCGGCTGCCGGCTGGAGGTATGTTTTGGAGATCGTGAGGGATGGTGGTTGGTGGATGGTGGATCATGGGGTGTGGTGGACTGATGCTTCCTGTCGCGCACTGCTGAATGCTATCCCTCCGTAAACCCTTCCGCCTGTCCCCATCCCTCCCAACCGTTTTCTATCCCCAGGGATCCTCTGCCGTTCACGTGTCTGATCACCATGCTCCAGCGCGCCTGCCGCTCGCACGAGCTGCTCGCATTGGTGGAGCGCATGCGCGCGCTCGACGTGCCCCTGGACGCGTACACGCTCACCACCGCACTCGGCGCCGCCATGCGCGTTGCTGACGTGGTCGCTGCTGAGACCATCTGGGCCGAAATGACCGCCGCGAGCCACGCTGGTGGTGCTGCCGGTGCTGGTTCCACTGCTGTTGCTGGTGCAGCCGTCGCCGCCGCCCCCTCTGCCGTCGCGTTCACGATGATGATGTCGCTGTACGGCCGCGCCGGCCGCCTCGACGACGCGCTGCGAATGTTTCGCGAAATGAAGGCTGCGGGAGTCGCGCCTGACGGCAAGGCCTACTCCACGTTAATCGGCTCTCTAGCTCGCGCGTTAAGAGCCGATGACGTGGAGGAATTAGTCCGTGAGATGACGGAAGGGACTTCCGCCTCTCCCGCCGCCACCGGCGCCGCGGGTTCCGGCCCGTCTCCCTCGCAGCGCGTGCCGCCATCAGTGTACACGAGCTTAGTCAGCATGTACGGACGGTTGGGCCGGCTTGATGATGTGGCGCGTGTGCTGCGCGACATGCGCGCGCGCAAGGCGCAGGCAGAGCAGAGCCTGTTCGTGGAGGCGGTGAAGGGGTGCACTGTGGCGCAACGCAAGGCCACCGCCGCCGCCGTCTCCGCGCAACAGAGCGCGGGAAGCGGCGGAAAGCAGCAGATAGGCAAGCGTCTCGAGGAAGAGACGGGCGGTGGTAGCAGCAGTGGCAGTAGCAGCTGCGTTACGAGCAGCAGCAGCTCCAGCAGCCACGTCAGCATAGGAGGAAGCAGCAGCGGGAGCGACGACGGGAGTGATACTAGCAGTAGTGCTAGTAGCGAGGAGATCTGTGCCCGCTCCATTAGTAGCACCAGCAGCGGGGCGGAGGGGGATGGGACGTCGGCGGCAGTGGCGCAAGCAGCAGGGGCAACGGCGGTGGCTGTGGCGGCAGTGGTGGCGGAAATGCGCCTGTTGGGCTGGCGCCCTGATCCCGCCCTCCTCCGCAACCTCCTCTCCGCGCCTTCCGCCCAGTCGTCCCTCCGCTCCTCCCCGCCCTCCCCGTCCGCGCAGGCAGGGAACGCGTCCGGGGAAGATGCAAGCGCAGGGGCAAGGGCGGGTGTGGGGGCAGCAGGGTTCGACAAGGGCGGGGAAAAGTCGAGGGGGACGGGAGCATGGCAGGTGCAGGCTCCGCAAGGGGGTGCGGGGAGCAGGGTGGGCGGAACGAGCGGAGGGGGAATGAAGGGGCGGGGAGGGCAGCAATGGCGGGAAGGCAATGGCGGAAGAAACGGGTGGGCGCAAGGCGGAGGAGGCGGAAACGGAGGCGGGGGAGGGGGAGGGGGAGGGGGAGGGGGAGAAAGGGGAGGCCCGTCTGCGCCTGCCCAGTCCGAATACTCGTGGTTCTCGCGCATTCTGCAGTGCAAGCGGCAGAGGAACTTCCAGGAAGCGGCGCGGGTGTATGAGCGTATGCGGGCGGCGGGTGTGAAGCCGCAGCAGCAGTCGCTGAGCCTGGCGATGGAGGTCATGGGCGAGCTGGGCAACGTGCAGGGCGCTGAACGCGCGCTTGAGGAGGTGGAGGCGGCTGGGACTCCCGTGGACATTGTGAGTAGATGGGATTGTGTCTGTTCGTGCGTGAGTGTGTGCATGTGTGTGAGCCTGGCGATGGAGGTGATGGGCGAGCTGGGCAACGTGCAGGGCGTGTGTGCGTGTGAGCCTGGCGATGGAGGTCAATTGTGAGTGGTGGTGTGCGCTCATATGCATCATGAATATAACCCGAAACCCTTTCCACTCCACCTCCCTCTACCGCACTGTACCCCACCAGGTGTGTTTCAACACGCTGTTGAACGTGTACGCCAAGGCGGGGAAGTCAAGCAAAGCGCAGGCAGTGTTCACGCGCATGCAGGCAGCAGGGGTGACCCCCAACACGCGCTCACACACGGTGCTGCTCAAATCCCTCTCCAAGGACGGCCGGGGCAAGGAGGCCGTTGCTGCTTTTAGGGCCATGGAGCGTGGCGGCTGCCATCTGGACGAGGTGAGCTGTTTCTCTCTGGTAACGGTCTTTGTTGCTTAGTCAACTGAGAGCAGGCAGCAGGGGTGGCAGGGGTGGCCCCCAACACGCGCTCACACACGGTGCTGCTCAAGGCCCTCCCCAGCAGAGCTGTCTTTTTGTTTGTTTGTTTGTTCTTCCAGTTGTTTCGTTTTGGCTCCTGGTTTTTGGCCCTAGGAGAAGAACCTCAGGTGCGAGGGTATCCTCCAACAGTACACTGACACCACAGGGTGTCTTACATCACTTATCCTGCAATGCTTCTGCCGTTCTCCCCATCCCCCTCCCCAGATCGCCTACAACACGGTCATCAACGCGTGTGGAAACGACCTCCCGGTGGACGAAACCCTCCGTCTCCTCCGCGCCATGCGCCGCAGCGGCTACCGCCCGAACCTTGTCACACGCAACCTGGTCCTCTCGCTGCTGGTCAAGGCCGGCCGCACGGCCGACGCGAGTGAACTCTTCGAGGAGGCCAGAGCAGCGGGGGAGGAGGACGCGTTCATGTATTGCACCATGGCACACGCGTTTGGGCGGAGGAGGGAGCTGGAGCGCATGGAGGGCGTGCTGGGGGACGCGGCGGCGCGGCGCATGGTGTCTCTGCCACTGCTGAATGCGTGCATGGACGCGTATGGCAAGGCGGGGCTGCTTGCGAATATGGAGACCTGCCTGGCGCGGATCCGCTCGTTTGACTTTGTGCCCAACCACACCAGGTAGGTTCGAGTCCCCTGTCTTCACCACAGCCCCCCTCCCTCTTTGGACCTGCAGATTCAACATTGTGTGACCTGTCTTCTCGTTCCTTCCCCCGACACAAGCATGACCCGCCCGCTCCCACCCCTCTCCCACCTCTCCTCCCCGCTTCCCCAAAACCAGTTTCAACATTGTGATCCACGCCTACGGCATGGCAGGCATGATCCCCGAGATGGAGGATGCACTGGCGCGCATGAGGCGCAGCGGGCTGCGGCCCGACGTGTACTCGTACAACATTCTCATCGGCGCGTATGGGGATGCGGGCATGCCGTGGGCGTCAGTGAGCATGGTGCAGCACATGCATGCTGAGGGGCTGCTGCAGGATCAGGTCACCTACCAGAACCTGGTTTCTGCGTTTGAACGCGCGGGGGATTTCCTGGAAGCTGCGCGGTGGTCGCTGTGGATGAAGCAGGCTGGCTTTTATCCCTCTGGTGAGTCCCACTTGTCCCCACTTCCTGGCTTCCTCACCTCACTCCCACACTAGCCGTGTATGGGAATGCGGGCATGCCGTGGGCGTCAGTGAGCATGGTGTAGCACATGCACGCTCAAAAGCAGAGACCAGGTTCTGGTAGGTGACCTGATCCGGCAGCAGCCACTCTTGTGCCCCATCAGCAAAGCAACTAATGGGTCAGCAATTCCATAACCGATTCTTCCCTGCCTGCCCCCTCCCTCTCTCTCCTCCCTGGTTCCTCCTGCAGCACTCAGCAACAGCAGTGCCGCGAGCAACGATGGGGGCAACGCTGCTTCCAATCGCAGCAGTGGCAGCAGCGGGGCCAAGAGTGCAGCAGGCACCTCGAACCTGCCAGGAGCAGGGCAGCTTCCATCCGACCTGCTGTGATTGACACGAGACGGACTGTTGCCTTTTGGGAAATCTCAAGGGCTGCAAAGGAGAGGAGGAGCTCCAATTGAATGTGCAGTGGATTGGATGGGCTGTTGGTGTGCTGTCAACAGGATAGTTCACAGCCCCTCCAGCTGGACATGATTGGTCACCCCTGTCATCAAGAGGATGGAGAGCCTTAGTGCAAGAGGGTTTGAGACCAACCCAAAGGCTGTCTCTCTGCTAGACGATCACTCCACAGGGTTAGTTAGTTGGGTTTGAGCATCAGTGAAGTGTGTAGAAGGTATCGCAGCACTGTACGGTAGGAGCGCGACTCCTCGTCGTGCAAGGAGTAGGGCGACATGCCGATCCTAGGCTTAGGGTACCTTCCTGCGGGGACACTTGTGTCTCAATCACTTTGTGACATCTAAAAACAGCATATACCGTGCCTTGTCACAAAAGCGGATCGCGCTTATGCGAGTCCCACTGTATTTTACATTGGTTGGCGTGAATTGCGCTTGTGTCGCGGACGAGTTACACGAGGCCCCGTCACATCCCGAAAATCGCACGCGTGTCGAAATCTCACACTGTACAGCATGCACCTAGACGCCCGAACTGGGCACGTTTCCGCGCGGGGATGGAAACCGCTCTGCCCGGGCTGACATATGACTGGTCCTTTAGCACACACGGTCACATCCCTGCCCGAATGTTTGCCCATCGTTCCAACCACACTGACAGCACTCTCCCGCTCCAATCTGTTCTTCTTCTCCCAACCCGAGCTTCCTCTTTCTTGTTGCGAAGTCTAGCCAGGGTCTTCTTTGGCACGCTGTAGCCATGGCCCGTAAGCGCAAGAGCGTAGCTAGTTCTGTTGACTTGTGCCCGCGGGATCTCGACGAGATCCCGTACATCGCTTGGATGAACAAACAAATCGCGGCCGGCCGCAAGCCCGCCGGCCCTTTGCCCGAAGGAGCGCCTGGTGCGGGGGACACCTCGTTCGAAGCCCCGCGCGATGTCCCTACCCGCGGACGCCGTCATGCCGACCGGGTTGCCTCATCCCGCGTCAACGACGATGCTGCCTTCGATGACGATGATGACGCCGCGGACTCTGATTACAACGAGTGCGACGAGGCCTGCGAAGACGACGCGGACTCTGGCGAGGAGCAGGACAAGGGCATGTCCCCCTCCGAGGATGAAGTTGACGCCGACGAGGACGCCGATGACGACGAGGACGCTCCCGAAGAGGCCCAGCCTGCGTCCCCGGCTCCTCGTCGCGGCCGTGCGTCTGCCGCTGCGGGAACCAAGACTGCTGCTAAGGGCGGGGAACCTCCGCGTGCCGCTGCCAAGACCCGTAACTTGCATCCTGTTAAGCGGAGCGTGTGGTCCCCCCGCGAGAACACAATCTTCGTGGCTGCGCGTTGGTTCATGAAGGACGAGCTCGGGCCCCTCCTCGGGAAGCAGGGCTCTCAGTACTGGGCCCGCCTCGCGCGTCACCTCGAGAAGGAGAATCCCGGTTGGGTGCGCGGTGTAAACGCGCTTCAGAAGCAGTGGCGCAATCTTGTGAACATGTACAAGCAGATCAAGAAGGGGGAAAAGGCGAGCGGCAAGGGTGCCGTGTGCAAGCCCCACTGGTACTCGTACATGGCGCTTTTCCAGAACAACAAGGCGGTGGGCAACCCTCACGCCGTCGACGGTGGCGGTGCGGCACACGTCAACGTGCCGTGCGGGTACGCGGTCCCGTCCACTTCGGCGCCCTGCACCTCTACGCCGACATTCACTGGTATGTATGTGTTGCATCAACGGTGGCACTCGCGGGTTTGTTGAATGACACATTTTGTGACAACATTTTACGCACACATTACATCATTAAAATGTTTAGGGTACATAACACCTCGTCTACTGTTCGTGTGCATCCACCGTGTGTGCAGCTCCGCCGCCACAGGGAACTCCTACATCGAAGCGCCCACGTGTGGCAGAGACGGCGACGATGGCCGCTGCAAAGCTGGTGTGCGAGACGATCAAAGGCTGCCACTCAGACGCCATGAGCAGGCTCGAAGGCCTCGTCCGCGTGTGGATGGATCAGGACGCGCGTATTGCTCGGGAACGCGTGCAGCAGCCCGCACCCTCCCCGCATGTCCGCGACGACATCCCTGCCCACGCGGACAACATGACCGACTCGCACGCCGCCGAAGGCGGCGACGACGGCTGGCTTCGTCGCGGGCAGGCGGGCGAAGACCCCTCTAACCCAGATGCGGGTGAGGAGGTGTGGGTCCGCGGCGCCGCCGAGTGAGGTAAGACGACTCCAGAGCCTCGCCCAGCCGCTTGCGCCTTTCACGAAGATTCTCTTGCGTGCATGGGTCACATGGCTCCCACATGAACTCTGCTACCGCGCCACGAGTCCACCATGGGTCCCGGTTTCGGGGCAAGTTTGCCCACGATGCATTGACGCGCCTTACTGCGCCCATCATTTCGCACATGTTGTGCAGGATGACGCCACAAGACGCCCCTGCAAGAATGCGCCAGAGCTTGCAGTCATTGCGGCCCGCGAATAGACGCCACCGGCCTTTGAAGGCGCCGATGCAGCGCTCTACTGCCATGCGCGTTGCGCTTTGGCAATAGTTAAAGCACTGCTCCCAGTCCTCCATTAGGCCTTCACGGGGAGCATGTAGGGGGGTCAGGCAGAAGTCTCTGAGTGGGTAGGCAGCATCTCCCACTATTTGGTATGGCGCTATGTCGCCGTTGTACAACCTTTCGTGTAACGCGCTGTTCATGAACACTCTCTGATCGTGCGCACTGCCCGGGTATCCGATCAAATAGTCCCATATGATGCCTCGCGCGTCGCATGTGATCTGCAACTGGACGGCGTAACAGGACTTCCGCGTGTAGTACTCTTGCCTGTGCCCCTCCATCCCCTTCATGGGTATGTGTGTGCCGTCTATAGCCCCCACTACCGCAGGTACCCCCTTGATGGCGCGGAACTCTGCGGCCATCTCGTCGAGGTCGTCGCGGGTCGGGAAGTGGACCCACTGCTGCTTGAAGACGGACGGGAAATGCATGAGGAGCGCGTCAACAAGCATGTGGCACAGGGTCTTGGACAGCCCGAACACGGAGGACAAGTCTACGAAAGACATGCCACTTGCGAGGTATTTGATAGGTACAAGGCATGCCACTTCATGACTGATTAGGTACCTGTCCACGTACGGTTGCATGTAGTGCGTCATCCCGGCGACAATGTATTCGAGAATGCCACGGTTTATGCGAAACATATCTCTGAACTGATCCTCCCCCATGCCGTCCAGGTCCTCTAGCAGCAACTGGTATCTCCGCCGGCGCAGCCCAGCCCTTCGTTTCCGCTCTGCGGTACGGTTGGAGGCGCGAGAGCTGGATGACGAGGACACCTCGTCATTGAAGACGTTCGCCTCCAGCAAGCCACCGACCGACTTGGCGATGGCGTCCATGAATATGCTGTAGTAGAACGTAACCCATGCGACAAGTAGGCGCATGAGGAATGGCACCTCGCGGGGCGATGCCATGGTTGCTAGACAGTGGTGCAGTTTAGCTCTGTGATGCTTGCGTTTTTGTACTTGCAGCCGTGGTTGTATACATGATGTTGTGTGTGGGGTGGCCCAAATTGCAACTTCCATTTCTGTGGCAAGCCCACCGCGATACTCGAGGTGGTGCGATATGTTTAGCCCCCCTGCCCGGCGGGAAAACTGGGTGGGCACAATCCTATTGGTCGCAACCAATAGTACGCACCCACCTGGCTGTGCCCATCTGTCGCGCAGGGTCGCGATACATTGGTTGTTTGTGACACAACATTTGGCAAATTTACAGGTGCGACTCGGGAAAACGGGGATTGAGACACAAGTGTCCCCACAGGAATGTACCCTTAGATGAAATAAGAGCGCTGGTGTGAGGGTTTCAAAACTGCCGCTCTGCCTTGCTGTGTTGCCCGTCTGTAGGCCTTGTTGGCCTGCCTGTGTTGCTTATCTTCCTTTGTGGCCTCTGGGTGGACATGGTACCCTGCCTTTGCCCCTTCATTCCTCTGCCTTTCCTCCCTGCTCTTACTCTCCTCCCTCCCCTCTTCCTGCTTTGCCTGCTTCTCTTGGCAACAATTGAGCTGCCATACTGTAGAATTTGCTTGCACAAGCAATAGAGAATCTAGGTAGGGTTGACTACATTAGAGGTTTTACATGGTGATGTACTTGTTTCAAGTAGATGAAAAGTGTTTCCTGGCTTTTTTGTTTGAAAACTCACATTAGCCAAGAAACCAAGCAGTAGACAAAATTATTTATTCAAACCAAATATTAATGTACGGTGCTACAAGCCTGTACACATACAAACCAAGTTAGCATCTACAAAGTCAATATAACTAGGTCTACTTCTAAAATCTACTACAGGAGTTTCACTGTATTCCTACCACCTTTGCACTTTAACCAAACCACCAGCCTCCCCTCCCTACTCCCACCTACCCACCACAGGTGTGGCACGGCACATGCCCAGTGTCATCACAGTGCGAGCATATCCGCATGCCATAACTCGTCACCACCTTGTGGTTACCACCACACTGCCGGCATGTGACCACCTTGCTGCCGCCGCACGTCCCACACCCAGTCTTCCCCGCATCATCATCAGTCGTCGGCAACCCTTGGATTAACTCAGCTAGAAAGTAATCATCATACATCTGGAGCACAGTATCGGCATCGCCGATGTAACGACCGCAGATGAAGAGGCGCGGGACAGAGCCGGCAGCTGCTGCTGCTGCAGGGGTTGCTGCTCCGGGTGCCATGAGCGTTTTGAGCTCTTGCCTGTACGAGACGCGCATGGAAATGTCCCTCTCCTCGTACACCACTCGCAGGGCCTGGAGGGAGGAAGGGCAGGGTAGTGTGTTTGGGGAAGGTATGGAGTGGAGAGTGTTTTTGAGGCGGCTTATAAACGAGACACGCATGGAGATGTGTCTCTTCTCGTACACCACTCGTAGGGCCTGGAGGGAGGAAGGGCAGGGTAGTGTGTTTGGGGAAGGTATGGAGTGGAGAGTGTTTTTGAGGCGGCTTATAAACGAGACACGCATGGAGATGTGTCTCTTCTCGTACACCACTCGTAGGGCTTGGAGGGAGGAAGGGCAGGGTAGTGTGTTTGGGGAAGGTATGGAGTGGAGAGTGTTTTTGAGGCGGCTTATAAACGAGACACGCATGGAGATGTGTCTCTTCTCGTACACCACTCGTAGGGCCTGGAGGGAGGAAGGGCAGGGTAGTGTGTTTGGGGAAGGTATGGAGTGGAGAGTGTTTTTGAGGCGGCTTATAAACGAGACACGCATGGAGATGTGTCTCTTCTCGTACACCACTCGTAGGGCCTGCGGGAGAAGGTATGGAGAGGCGTCTCAGTGGGTCTCCTTGATAGACATTCGACTGGCAAATGGCACATGGCAGTTGGTACAAACTGGATGGCACATGGCACATGTTAAAGGATGGAAAATTCTCCTTGGTAAAACAAACAATCCATCCATCGTACCTGCAGCACCTTCTTCACTTTGACGCAGTCCTCGAACGTTTTCCTTACTGCCCGAAGCGTGGTTGTATACACCACCACTGCGTCTACCCCGCCCGGCGGGCAGCGCTGTTCGATACTTTCTAGCAGCTGAGACCGCGGAGGAGGGGGAGGGGGTCCAGGGTCAACAACCGGCTTTGCTTCTATCACCGGCTCCTTCTCCTTCACTCCTGCCTCCTCCCCTTGTGTTGCTGCACCCGCCTCCTTCCCTGCATCACCTGCCGCCTCTCCTGCTGCAGCGTTTGCCCCATTCTCCTCTGCCGCAGCACCAGGCTTGGCAGACTCAGCGTCAGCTGCATTAGCAGAGGCCACAACAGCAGCCACCCATTTTCCTCGCACCCCTCCGGCACCACCGCCAGCAGCAGCAGCAGTAGCCGCAGCACCACCAACCGCACCAGCAGCTGTGGCAGCAGCAGCAGCAGCAGTGGCCTCAGCAGCCGCGGCTGCTTCCAACTGGGCAGCCAGTCTCGCAACAAGCCCTCCCTTGATACCCTTCCTTTCCTTCTCCACTGCCACTCCCCTCGCTGCCTCTGCTTCTGCTGCTGCAGCCATAGCAACAGTCGGCAGAGGGGCGGCAGCAGCAGGAGCAGTAGCGAGAAGAGTAGTAGGAGGAGGAACAGATGGAGGAGCAGAAGGAGCTTTGACAGCAGCAAAAGAAGACGCAGGCTCTACACGAGAAGAGGCGCTAGCTTTACCAGCAGTCCCCGATTTGAGAGGTTCTGGTGAGATGCTCCCTCCAAGTGCTACTGCTGCGTCTGCTGCTATATCTGCTGCAGCTTCAGTTCTCAATCGCTCTGTAAGTGGTGCTGCCTGCACTGCAGATGCCGGGTGTGATGCATGCGCTTGGATGTGCTGTGCTGCTGCTGATGCCGGGTGTGATGCATGCGCTTGGATGTGCTGTGCTGCTGAAGATGTGTCTTCCATTGGCGCTGCTACTACTGATGCTGCTTGTGCCGCCGCTCGTGTTTTTGCTGGTGTTGCCCCTGGTGCTGCTGGTGCTGGTGCTGCTGCTGGTGTTGCTGTTGCTGCCACTGCTGGTGGTGCTAATGCTGCTGGTGCTCTTGCAACATCAACCCTACCACTGTCAACCCTGCCACTGTCACTCCTGCCACCATAAACCACACTGTCTACCCTGCCACCATCGAAGCTTCGTCTCACAGCACTGGGGTCCGTCACCTGTCGCATTGAGGGGCTGCTCACCCCACCGCGCAAGCTGCCTTGCCTGGGACTCGCCACCCTGCCCGCCCCTGCCCCTGCCACCTGCGCACCACCACCCCTGCCTGGCAGTGCTGGAGCTGATGTGCTCGCTGTAACACCTGGTGCCGCTTCTTCTGCCCCGTGTGCTGTCCTGCCAGCTGCCAAGTTTGCAGGCCGTGGGCTGGCTTGTCCTATTCCTATTCTCACTCTGCCGCCCACCAAGGCAGCGTGCATAGGACTAACCCTGCCGCCCACTAGAGCAGCGTGCATGGGACTAACCCTGCCGCCCACCAGAGCAGCATGCATGGGACTAACCCTGCCGCCCACCATAGCGGCCTGCATGGGGCTAACTCTGCTGTTCGCGACAGCAGCATGCATGGGGCTGGCGAGGGGGGTGATTCGCTGCCAGTCTGCCGCGCTGTGCTGCTCCAAAGCCGCCTCCATAGCATCCAGTAAATCCGGGTCGAATAGGAAATCGCCCACATCCACTCCCGCTCCCTCTCCCTCTCCTCCTCCCTCTCCCTCTCCCTCTCCCTCTTCTTCTTCCTCCTCCTCTCCCTCTTCCTCGTCCTCCTCTCCCCCCTTCCCCTTCCCCTCCTCCACTTCCTCGTCTTCCCTGTTGGACACCTGTTCTTGCACTCCCTCCTTCCTGGCAGCAGCACCTGTAATAGCAGCATGCATGCCAGCACTCGCATGCTCTCTAGTGCCTGCACCTTCCACTCTGCCTTCTGGAAGCTCGCCTGTGCGACCTGAATGCCCGCCCGTGCCTCCTGATTGCTCGTATGTGCCTGCCACAATGGAGGCAATGGCTGCGGCATCGGATACAGAGTTTGCTGTTCCCACAGCATCAGAGCGCGTGGCAGTGCCAGCACCAGCAGCAGCGCCCGCACCAGCAGCAGTGCCAGCATCACCAGTAGCGCCGTCCACAGGTGCTGCAACAGCCGAACTAGCAACATGGGCCACCCCTACACCAGCAGCAGCACCACCCACAGGTGCTGCCGCTCCCTGCCCTCCACTCCCACCCGCATCAGCCCCTGCAGCACCCTTTGCCCCTTTCTTCTTCTTTGCCTTCTTTGGGGCTTTCTCCTCGCCTTCCTTCGTCCCCTTCACCCCCTTCTTCTTTTTCTTCTTCTTCTTACCAGTCCCCACCCCCGGAACTGCTATTCCTGTAACCCCTTCCCCTTTACCTCCCTCTCCTCCTCCACCTTCCCCGCCCTCCTCATTCCCATCCGGCCCAGTCCCTTGGTCAGGGAGTAGGTTCAGCAGCAGCTGCTCCAGCGTCTGCTGATACTCCCTCTCTCTCCGAAGGTCCTCCTCAAAGCTCGCCAGAACATCCGGATCGAAAATGAACTCCTCTGCACCGTCTTGCAAACCGTCCGTTGGGTCAGCCCACTCACCTCCGTCCAACCCGACAACACCTAACAACTCGCCATTTTCCGCGTCCACGTCACCACCGTCTTGCTGGTTTTCCAAGCCGTCATCCCTCGCTGCCCCCTGCGTCGTTGCTTCCCCTCCCTGTAACGCCTTCGCTGCCAAGGCGTCCCCTCCGTCAGCTGCTCCGTCAGCTGCCTCGTCAGCTGCTCCGTCAACTGCTCCCTCAGTTGACTTATAATTTCCCAATAAACCACCTTCGCTCTCTTCTCTCTCATCACCTGCCGCGAGTTGCTTCGATTCCGCAGCCGCATCTCTTACAGCACTTGTCCCTGCCCGCTCCTCCTTCCCCTCCGCCTCCGCCGCCGTTGCCGCCGTTCCCGGGTCCCGCTTCTTCGGTTTCCCATGCATGCTAACAGTCTTGGTTCGACCCTTTCCTCTGGACTGTCCGCGCCGCTCTTTCGTCGACGAAGCACCAGCACCACCGCCGCCGTCGCTGGTGCGTCCGTCGGCGCGACTGTGAAGCTCGGACTTGGACTGGATGCATCCCATTAGGCAAGAAACAAATGATTATGGATACGCCACGTGAGACGCGTCAGGATACAGATATTTAGAGACGTGTCAAAGATTGTGCGATTCTAACTCGTACGAAACGCATCCCATGCGGCAGGGCAAGCGCGTGAAGCTGCTGACATGTATAGACTAGCTTACGGATCTTTGCGTCTACCGCGTCAGTTACTGACATTCTGACGTGTACAGACCTTTGAAATTTGGGCTGGTAGGAGTATGCATTTCGTAGGGCAAGATAATAGAGGTCGCGAGCACTTGCTCAAGTTACAGATGGTAGAGAGTATGTATGGAGAATAATTGCGAGTGTTAGTGCGCAAACGTGTGGTAAGCAATCTGTGTATCTGAAATGGCTATGGAACCACGTGCGCGTCTCGAGTCTAAAAATAAGAGTTTCCCAGGCAGAGAGCTCTGAACTTACTCAGCGACATGATCCCTGCCATGCTGCCAGGAAATTCAGAGAATCAGAGCCGTTGGAATGAAGCTGTCCGCACTAGGTTATGTTTGGCAGGCAGCGTGCAGGAGAATCCTGAGGCTCCAAATTCTCAAGCTCACACCAGAAGTTTGGAGGGAAATTTGTGCCAATACCGAGGCATGGATCTAGCACTCCCTGACGCACTCGCTGACAGCCCCTAGGCGTAACAGGTCAGTGGTAACTCAATATGCGCGAGCCAATCATGTTGCGGATATTGCTACTCACGGTACTCGCAAACTGGGGAAGTCAGTTCTCCTTCGCTCGTCGCGAGGGAGGTTCTGCTTCGACTCGTCACGAGCACGCTCGTTCTGGCTGCTTCATGGCAGTACATACTCACTCAAAACCATACCCGACCCAACCTTGTAATTGCAAACAACCGTTTTGTAGCGCAATCAAACGTACTGAAATCCGTATTGTACCAGAGCACTTCACATCACACACCATCTCATCTCACCTTCAACAGAAGCTCGATTTGAAAGCTGAAACAGCCCTTGGGAATGCATCGATTGCTGCTCCATGGTTAGGAGGAGTGAAACAGTATTCACCTTGAGGGTTTCCTGAAGGTTGTTTATCCATGAAGTTTCGAATGAAGCTGGACAAGTGCTCGCTTTAGATTTTGTTAGCAAGCTTTTGTTTTCATGGTCGGTTTTCTGTCAAAAATCTATCAGCGGGTCCCACAGGCTAGCATTGTCACCACTTCCCTCCACGTTTTCGGCAAATTCCATGCTAACATGGGCCTTGAGAGAACTTGCATGCGCTCGCTGATCGAGCGAAGCATCTTAGCAGAGGGACCAGCATTGCGAATGCTGTCCAGGAACGGTTGAATCGAGATGGCTCTTCACGCCGCTGACGACTTCGCACTGCTGCAGCGATCGAGGAAGTTGCCGTCAGTCAGACGCGTCACGGATCACAGTGAAAGTAAACAGAACGCGGCTGGTCGAGTCATGCCTCCTAGCAAGTCGAACCGTAAGCGAGTCAGGACATCAGACAAGCCAAACGGCAACGGCGACGAGCCCCATTGTGAGGCCACGCCAAGCAGACGGAGAGGAAAAGGACGGTCGGCAGCGGGGAATGGATCTCTGGATGCTAGCAACGGTAACGATCCGCGAAGGGATTCCCCACCACTGGCGGTGACGAGGAGTATGACAACACCAATTGCGGAAGTCAGATCAGTTTCACCGCAGCAGCTTCTGACAGAAGCTCAGCGTGCTTCTGCTTTTCACGATCCCGACGTTCCACTGCTCGTCGTCGCTGCTGCTGTGAGTGGGTACAGACGCCATGACTGATGGCTCTTGCTTGTGCTGCAAGTTCACTCTTAAATTATACTTGTCATCCAACCTCGTGTGCAAAGCCACTCTGAGCATTGCGTTTCCGTTCCCTGATTATGATAAACAGGAATTGATGAGTTTATGGAGGATGTCCTCTCAGCTGACAATTGCTGGTCAGCTCAGCTTGTGCTCCACTTCGCCTAACATGCTTGTGTCTCATCATGCTTTTGCTTCCACTTGCTTTTGTGCTTTCAGGGCTCGGGAAAGACTTCGGTGATCTGCCACCGCATCATACACCTCATTTCCCAGGTTGCACCATTTTCCACCTTCTCTTTTCCTATTACAGCATACAGAACAATTGTGAATGTGGATCTCTATCGCCTAGTCTGATGCTCCAGTTTGCTGCTTTTGAAATTTAAACGCATCTGAAGTCGTGAAAGTCTAGCTTGATTTTCGCTGAACGTTACACTGCACTACTGATTTCGTGTCTCCCGTTCCTCTCTCCGCTCTCTTCCCCTTGCTCCCTTCCATCCCTCTCCATTTCTATCCACTGTTCCAGGGTGTTCCTCCCAGTGAAATTCTCGCAGTCACAGTGAGTTCACGGTACCACATGCTGAGTCAAATGCATGCAACCTTAGATGCCTGCCTAGGAGACTCGCTACTCAATCTTCAGTTTATGTTTGATGCCATTTCCAATACTGCATCTCTGTTTCGTGTTGTCCAGAATGGTGATGTTGGTGTGCAAGCTGACAACTGGTCTCCCATTTCCTTTCCGCCTCCTACTCCTTCCCGTGCCTCTTTCCCCCCTCTCCCTCCTCCTTCCCGTTTCCTCCCCCCTCTGATCCCTCTGTTATGACCCTATCTCTCCAATCTACACGCACTCCGACTACGTGTTCCCTTTCCTGCAGTTCACGAGACGAGCAGGTCAGAGCCTAAGGCACCGACTGCACCAGCTCGCAGCAGCAATGGAAGCACATCGCTCCAACAACGCAGAACTCTGCACTGATGTTTCCACCGGAGCTGCTGCCCAACCCGCTGGATCTGCAGCAGCGGTGGCAGCAGTGGGTGCAGCAGCAGTGGCAGCAGTGCGGATCTCCACCTTCCACTCCTTCTGCTTGCAGACCCTCAGGCAGTTCGCACACCTGGCGGGCCTGCCTAAGGACTTCACCGTCTTCCCTCCCAAGATGCAGGTCAGCGCCGAGTCTATCCCTCCCCTATCAGCTCCGACCCCATGCTGTCTCCTCTGTCGACCTACTTCAGTTTTCTCCAATGCATTTCCTCTTTCGTTGGTTGTTGATGGCCTTCCTCTCCAAGATTCAGGACAGATCCTAGTCTTGTACTGTCCTATCTGCGTGACACAGCCTTGTTCCACCTTCCTGTATGCGTGTGACGCGTGCAGGCAGAGACGTTGATGGAGCTGCTGCAGGAGTGGGCGGAGAGGAAAGCTGCAGAGGCAGGGGAGCATGGAGCCAGTCGAATAAGCGTGCCAACAGGAAAGAAGGTAAGCAGGCAACTCTGCTCTCGTCTCTGTTCGTTGGTCTCTCTCAACTGGTCCGTCTGTTCATCAGAAACCCGAGTACAACTTCCCTGACTTTCGTCTGTCTGCTGACATGCATTCTTCTATCCGTCATTTCTTGACTCGATAACTTTCACTCACCACCACACCCCAATCCTTTCCACTGCACTCCACCTCACTGCACCGCACACAAACCCCACCAGCTGCATTATATCATCCGCCGCTTCCTGCACGAGTTTGGCCGCCTGGAAGCCGAGAATGCAGCAATGCAGGTGCTGCAGGGCTCTCGCCCTCTGCACCAGCCAGCAGCAGCAGCAGCAGCAGCAGCAACAGCAGCACAAGCTTCAGACCCATCTGCTTCTTCTGCTTCCGCTGCTGCTGCTGCTACGAATCATGGTAACTCGCACAGAAGGAGGCGGATATCGTTTGGAGACGGCGGAGGAGGAGGGGGGGAGGGTGACGAGGATGGAGGGCTATTTGCATGGCTGTGGGAGCAGTACCGGCGCCGCCTCGTGCTCAACAAGGCCGTCGACTTCTCCCAGTTCGCCCCGTAAGTAACATTTGTGGTTCATGCGACTCTGGAGTCTACTTAAACCTTACTCAGTATCGGCGCCGCCTAGTGCTCAACAAGGCTGTCGACTTCTCCCAGTTCGCCCCGTGAGTTACATTGGTGCTTCACATGACGTTTAAACCGACTCAAAAGTCACGCAGTATCGGCGCCGCCTCGTGCTCAACAAGGCCGTCGACTTCTCGCAGTTCGCCCTGTTAGTTCCTCCTAGTTCTCCTCTAGGTTCATATTGAGAGTTCTCAAATTCAACCAGGTTCACAACTTGAAGTTTAACCGTTTCATGTCTTTCACGCCACCAACCACCCACTCGCCTCCTCCTTTTCGTGCTAACCACATACTTCTTCGTCTCGTTCTTCTTATATGTTGGGAATGTGTGGCATACCTAGGCTATACGTATCGCCTATGGTTGCGCATACCTGTGCGTTATGGCTATGCATGCCTACTAGAAACCGGTGGGACTCTCCTTAATTACTTCCATGTTCCGTCTGCTTTGATTTTGTGGCTACGCGTGTCCATCAGCAACTGGTAGGTGTCTGCACTCCATAATCACTCACTGCCCTCCTTTTGCACTCCATAATCACTCACTGCCCTCCTTTTGCACTCCATAATCACTCACTGCCCTCCTTGTGCACTCCATAATCACTCACTGCCCTCCTTTTGCACTCCATAATCACTCACTGCCCTCCTTTTGCACTCCATAATCACTCACTGCCCTCCTTGTGCACTCCATAATCACTCACTGCCCTCCTTTTGCACTCCATAATCACTCACTGCCCTCCTTGTGCACTCCATAATCACTCACTGCCCTCCTTGTGCACTCCATAATCACTCACTGCCCTCCTTTTGCACTCCATAATCACTCACTGCCCTCCTTTTGCACTCCATAATCACTCACTGCCCTCCTTTTGCACTCCATAATCACTCACTGCCCTCCTTGTGCACTCCATAATCACTCACTGCCCTCCTTGTGCACTCCATAATCACTCACTGCCCTCCTTTTGCACTCCATAATCACTCACTGCCCTCCTTGTGCACTCCATAATCACTCACTGCCCTCCTTTTGCACTCCATAATCACTCACTGCCCTCCTTGTGCACTCCATAATCACTCACTGCCCTCCTTTTGCACTCCATAATCACTCACTGCCCTCCTTTTGCACTCCATAATCACTCACTGCCCTCCTTTTGCACTCCATAATCACTCACTGCCCTCCTTTTGCACTCCATAATCACTCACTGCCCTCCTTTTGCACTCCATAATCCTTTTGCTGCTCGTGCGTGGCAGCAAGGCGGTGAAGCTGCTTCACGCACATCCAGAGATACTCGCGTCGAGCAGCACGAGCAGCAGCAGCAGGGAGCACGTGCATAGCAGAGCGCGCACTGCTGCAGCTGCAGCTTCGTCCAGGAGCCACCTGCGTGTGTCGCACGTGCTTGGTACGACTCTCCCCTTCTATTCTTCTTCCTTTGCACCTCAGCTTCTGCCTCCTGATTATTTAATGAACCCCTGCCCCATCCTCCAGTCCCCATTCCCACTTTCCTTCCAATACTTTCCTCTCGTATCCGTCATTTCTCCCTCTCCCCTTTTCGACCTTCCCCCTCCCTCCTCCGTCCCCACACGCACGCACACATGCCAGTGGACGAGTTTCAAGACACCGACAGCTGTCAGATGGAGCTGCTTCTGCTGCTCTGCCGCCCCCTGCCGTCTGCGCCGACCCTGACCCTCGTGGCTGACGATGACCAGCAGATCTACTCCTTCCGTGGCGCCATGGGCCTGCCTAACCTGCGCCGCTTCCTCCGAACCTACCCGCAGGCTCGGACGGTCTGTCTCGACCAGAATTTCCGAAGCTGCGGCTCGGTGGTGGAGGTTGCCCGCCACGTCATCGCGCACAACCAATGGCGGCACGCCAAGTGGATGGTCACAGCAGCGCCAGTGGGCCCGCTTGTCTCGTTGTGCGAGTGTCGGACGGATCGGTGCGAGGCGACAGCTGTGGTCGGCAAGATCTGTCATCTAGTGGGGTCATGCGGGGTGCCAGCAAATCAGATCGCAATCCTGTACCGTGTGCAGGCTGTAGGAAAGGTGATTCGGCAGTATCTGAAGAGCCATGGGATCAAGGTGTCTTCTGCAGCAACAGGAGGAGGGGGAGCAGGGCTTGGGAGTGGAGGAGGAGGGGGAGAGTGGGGAGCAGCAGAGGAGGATGGGGTGGCAGTAGCTGCAAGTGGTTTCATAGCAGAGGGGGGCAACGGTGCCATGGCTGGTGCTAGGGGAGGGAGAGGGACGGGGACAGTAGGAGCAGTTTTCCATGATATCCTGGCTCTCCTGCGATTGGCTGCCAATGAATCGGATGACGTGGCGTGTCGGCAGGTCCTGCGCTTTGTCTGCCCGCCGCCCACCCGCCAGGTGGCAGTCTGTCTGCGCACGCTACAGTGCGCCCCACACCGCATCTCCCTCCTGCCTGCTGCCCGCATGACTCGTCTGCACCTCCTCGGCATCTCCCGCTGCGCCGCCCTCTCCAACGTGTCTTCCACCAACCCCGGCGGTGCTTGTAACGGATCAGCAGGCAACAGCAGTGCTTATAACGGATCACTCTCTACCCATGCACACAACGCAACCGACCCCGCATGGCCCCACACGCTCTCACCAGAAGACATGGAGGTTCTAGAGGGAATAAAGAGGATGGCTGCATCAGTCTCTGAGCTGCAAGGTCTTCTGGGCATCCCCCCGCCTGGCTGGTCCTCCCCCCCTGCTCGTGCCTCCTCTGCTCCTGCCTCTGCATCGCGCCCCCCTGCAAGCAGCAGGAGGAGAGGCATTGGTGCTGGGATTATGGGTATGGGTGGTGGGACTACGTCCTTATCCGCGATTTTCCACGGAGAAGGAGGAGGGGAGGAGGAGGAGGATGATGGGGTGTCCTGTGAGGCTTTGGTGAGGTGTGCACTTCGGTTTGTAAGAGCAGTGAGGGGTGGGGAGGGGCGGAATGGGGCGGGGGTGGGGGCGGAGGTGGTGGTACAGGGGGTGTTAGGAGGCGGAGGGGGAGAGGGAGTGGTTGGAGGGGTTGGGGGAGGGAGGGGGAATGGTGGGATGGGTGGAAGAGGCTGGGGAGGTGGGCGTGGGATGGGGGGGCATGGAGGAGGCGCAGGCGCATTGGATCCGGCCATGTTTGCTGGGGTAAGAGCCCTTCTTGTGGAGGCTGCAGCATTTGACAGGGAGAAAAGGCAGACACGGCTGGTTATGCAGGCTAGGGTAATGAGTGCAGCAGCAGCAACAGCATCAGCAACAACCGCAGCAGCAGCAGCAGGTGCAGCTGCATTGAGGAAAGCTGGTGAAGGAGCAGAAGGAGCAGGGCAAATGGGGTTTGGAGATGTGCCAGGAAGGGTGGTGTCAGGGTGTGATGCGGGGAGCGAAAGAAACAACAACGCCAACGGTAACAGCAGCAGCACTATAAGCAGCAGCAGGCACATGGCTAATCCAGGAGGTTACTTCTCCCCAGCTACCACCCCTGTGAAAGACCGTTACAGTCCGGGCAGCAGCAGTGAGAGCAAGCAGGGCGGCAGGAGGCCGAGCTACGCCGACCTGCTGCTGCAGCGTGACGGAGTGGTGGGAGTGGTGGGCGGCACCGGCATGGCACAGGGAATGGGGCTCGCCCGATGGTCCAATGCTGCAGGGGCTAACGCTGCAAGGCAGGTGGATTTGGAAAGACGGATGGGGAAGCAAGGAGAGGTGGCCTCAAACGATCCTGGTGCTGGTGCTGGTGCGGGTGGTTATACTCGTAGCGATGGTAATGATGGTGAGAAGGGAAATGACGAGAGGGAGTTGGAGAGAGAGGAGGACGGGGAGGAGGCGGAGGAGGAGGTAGTGGTCCAGTTTGTAGACAGAGTGATGGAGAGAGTGCATGAGAGGGAGCTCGGGGTGGGTGTGGAGGAGGGGTTGGGAGTGGTGGGGGACGGTGCTGGTGAGAGAGATTTTGGTGGGGTGGGGCGTGGGGGGAGGCGAGCAGGGAGAGGGGTTGAGGGGAAGGGGCGGGGGAGTGGGGGGAGTGGGGGGAGTGGTTGGAGGGAGAGTGAGCAGGAGAGCGGAGGGGTGGTGCTGAGTACAATTCACCAGGCCAAGGGGCTGGAGTGGCAGGCTGTGATTGTAGTGAGGGCGAACGAGGGCGTGCTCCCACTGGTGGACTTCAGTAGAGTCACACAGGCCCCTGCCACTGCCACCACCACCAACTACCCGCCCACACCCCAAACTTTACCACCGACAACAACGGCAACGACAGCAGAAGCAGCAGCAAGAACGACCATGCAGGGCAGGTCATCGCGATCAGGTGCCCATACGGAAGGAGGGGCAGTGGGAGGAGGAGAGGGGTGTGGGCGTGAGTGTGGGGTGCGGCCCCTGCCTCCACTGCCTTCTATGCCCCCAGACTACGACGCTCAGCTGGAGGAGGAGGTGAGCTGAGATCTGAGTCGTTTACTGGTCGTGCCATCCCAAAAATGAGACTTCTCTAGCCTGCCATGCCCCCAAACTATGATGCTCAGCTAGAGGAGGAGGTGAGCTGAGGTCTTTGAAACGTTTAGCAATCATGACGTTTCAAAAACTGAGACATCTCACAGTTTGAGATGTCTCAAGCCTGCCATGCCCCCAGACTAGGACGCTCAATTTGAGTCGGAGGTGTGTGGAGCAGGCGCATGTGTTTTCTGGGATTTTATGTGGATATGGATCAATTCTTCTGTGCATCTGCATGTTTCTTCCTCAATGCACCTGCATCTTCCCTGCATGTGCCCCTTTGTTCCTCTCCGCATCGCAACAGAGGAGGCTTATGTACGTGGCGCTCACCAGAGCACAGCAGCATCTCATGGTGCGTCTGCATGCATGCACTCCACCTTCCCTCCACCTCCCCTCCACCTATGCTTCACTCACAGAGCTCTCCACCTATGTTTCAGTGATAGAGCTTACTGAAGGCTGAGTTGATTGTCCTACCATACGCTCAATGTCTTTGTCTTGTTCTTTTCGCCTGGTATCATACTGCCCATTACTTGTTACTCCTGCTCCTAGTCTCTAAACATGCTCCACCTGTACTGTTTTTTCATTGGCCTAGGTCACTCATGTGATGTCTGCTGCTGGCCAACCAATGCTCCCATCCAGATTCCTCGCAGAGCTCCCTCCGTGTAAGTGATTAATTGCCAGTCTGTGGTGCTTCATGCGTGTACACATTTTGCGTTATGAATTGCGTTCACTTGAACCTCGCGAACCTAACAACCTCTCTTTGACTCATTAACCTACCATGCCATATGATGATATGTTTCCCTTGCCATCGAATACGCAGCTGCGGTGCATCGCACAACTCAGTACGACGAGAGGCCGACCAATCATGTGCAACAGTTCGTGTCACGACAGTCACAATCTTCGTCCTAGGTTATCATGTCTTGGATATCACGATCACAGAATTCATTGCCGTACAGCATGTTCTTTTGTCTCAATTTTTTTTTTTTGGAGGACATGAGGACTTGTGTACCTAAGTGTCAAGGACGCACAATGGCATGTTGGAATGAAAAATCCACTTTTCAGTATACAGATTGTGTACTGCTTTCGCGATTCCTGAATGACCGATCACAAAAACGAAGCGTTTTTTAACAGGTCCAGTAATTTGCCCCTTTTAAAGCGACGGGCAACTTTTGGCAGTGTTGGGTTCAGAAGTTTTTTTTTTGAACCAGGCTTGCCAGCGCGAAAGTGCTGGCTGGCGAAAACCAGGATTTCGTGCGGACACTTTCCATCCGCAGTAACAGTTCGCCAGGGTTCTGGGTTTTGGGTGGCAAATGTGCACCGTCGCTTTAATGCTCCCTCGCGACCCTGAGTGCCACGCAGAAAAAGAGTCTTCGAGATCCAAGCCTTGTTTCTGTTCTGCTTGTGAGCAGAGTCCTACCATGCCGTCTGTCCAATGTCGTTTTTGCACATTGACGTTTACTTCCGATGACAATGCTTACGATCACGAGAGGTCGGCCCATTATCCCCAATATGTATGTCCCTTGTGCGATAAGAGCTTCGACTCAGTCGCAGGGCTTCGACACCACCAGACTATCAAACACCCCATAGGAGTTTCATGTAGATTTTGTCAGCTCCGCTTTAATTCTGTTCAGCCCGCCATTGCTCACGAGCTAGATCAACACAAGTTTAATGTTTCCTGCAGGTTGTGCTCTCACCGCTTCCAGTCGATAGAGGAGGCCGTGGCTCATGAGCTACGCTCACACGGCTACTTAGCGACTTGCCGGTTCTGCAGCCAGGCGTTTGGATCAGAGGAAGCTGTACTTCAGCACGAAGCGAGTGTCCATTTTCCAATGGTGAAGTGTGGCATTTGTGGCATGAATTTTAACGACCAGGCTGAAGCATGGGAGCACGCCAACGACTCGCACGTTCGAACTTATTCCTGTGTATTTTGCAATAGAGTTTTCGGAAGCGAGCATTCCTTGTCCCAGCACGAGGACGCGAAGCATCCCAGTGGGCAAATCGTGTTCCAAGGCGGGTATTATTATTAAACGGGTGGTGGAGCTGATACGAACGATGCCTAAGCGTGTATTATTGTCTCAATACGACCATACTCCAAGCACTTCCACGTAAAACCCACAACAATGATGGGAGAGCCGCTAGACAATATGTCATGTTCCGTGTTTGTCAGTAACATTCGCTCAAACAGAACAATATATATGTACATATATATCTAACAAAATGTTGTGTATGTTCCTTGTTTGTCTGGTTTTCTTCGCTGTGAGCTTCATCGTACAGTAATCAACAAGGGTCTAGATAATATGTTTGGTAAAAAAAAAAACGGGTACGGTCACTGCAAATAGTGTTTTCACGTGTTTGATCAAACGTTTGACGGAATCGGTCACAATGAACTGGGAAAAAATAACTAGAATGGTCACAGATGAAACTCCCGCCCAAAAAAGATAATAGCCAAAATGAACCTGGATGCATTTTCGGATGAACCAACCCTGAACACAACTCGCCATGTGTTTAGGGTTGATCCGTTCCCAAACTGCATCCGATTCCGATCGGGTTTTAGTATTTTTAGAAATTAGCTGATTGGTTGGGTGCGAGCGGGAATTTTGTAGAGTTTCAAGAACTTTTGGCGGGAGTTACATGTGTGACAATTCGCGTGATTTTCACCTGTTGTTAGGGACTGAATCCGTGACCCCACTTACCAAACCCGTCAGCAAACCCGATACAGTGACCGTACGCGTTACTTTTTTACCATTCACGTTATCGAATCCCATGTTGGTTACTTGTTGTGACATATTTTCCCAAAAAAAAAATATGTAGCTAGTGAGCGACGGTTTTCAGGAACCTCCTTGATGCTGCATTCACCGCGTCGCGGTTCGAGTCGTTCGGCATTCCCCATGAGGTCATTCCCCAAGGGTCACGTTAGCCTCAGTACCGTACATATTGTATAAAAAATCAGCGCACTTCTCGCACAGTTTTTCTATTTCAGATTTTGGCTTGTTCTGTGACTCCACCGCCTCCTTCAGCAGCAGGACCAGAGGAGTGTGTGTTGTTAGCAGCATCCTGATTTTGACTTCGACGCTACTTTGAAATGGAACCAAGATGCTGGTTGTTGAGTGTCGATACTGCCCTGGCTCTTTCAATTCAGCGGACCAAGCGTGGGAGCATGAAGTGTACAGACCTGGGTGAACTGCGCAGTTACCTTGGCTTGCAGATCACCCGGGACAGAGCACGCCGCACCATCACACTGACTCAGTCACACATGGTACAGCAGGTCCTTCAGCGCTTCGGTTTCACCTGGTCCTCAGCACAGGCCACTCCTCTGGCTACAGGTCACTCGCTCTCAGCTCCACCTTCGGACGAGTCCGTAGAGCCGAGTGGTCCTTACCCAGAGTTAGTGGGCTGCCTCATGTACCTGATGACTTGCACTCGTCCTGACCTTGCGTACCCTCTTGGCCTTCTGGCTCGCTACGTGGCTCCTGGTCGGCACCGAAAGGTGCACACGGATGCTGCCAAGAGGGTACTACGCTACTTGTGCAGTACATCGGGCATGGGGCTCGTGCTTGTAGGACGGGGTGACGTTGTCCTCACAGGTCACTCGGACGCCTCTTGGGTTGATGAACAGGCTACGCAGCGGTCGTCACAGTGTTACACCTTCAGCCTTGGTTCTGGTTCAGTTTCCTGGCGTTCTACACGTTCGTCTTCAGTTCTCGGCTCCAGCTGTGAGGCAGAGATCTACGCCACAGCCGTGGCTGCACAGGAGCTGCGCTGACTCACCTACCTGCTGACCGACTTGGGAGAGCGGCCTCGTTCTCGTCCAGTTCTGTACGTCGACAACAAGGCCGCCATTGCCTTGTGTCAGGAGCACAGACTGGAGCACAGAACAAGGCACAGAACAAAGCACATCACTCTCCGTTACTTTCTTGCTCGAGAGCTGCAGCAGCGTGGCCAGCTTCGTCTTACCTACATGGCCACTCGGGCCAACACTGCTGATATATTCACCAAGGCGCTTCCGCCTGGTGATCATCAGCGTTTATGCACTTTGTTAGGCCTTGTGCCCACTGTTCCTCACTTGCTGTAGGCTTTGTTTGTACCATGATTTATATGTATTCCTGCATGCTTGTTCTTGTAGGTAGATATCACTGTACTGTTGTTGTTACATATATATTTCTGCATGTGAACTGGTCTTGTGGCCTTCTTGCTCGTGCTCAGACTGCGTGGTGACGTTGTGATCCACCCTGAGCTTGCTTTGCACTTCCTGACTGGTCTTGTGACCCTCTGTTCTCCCCCACTTTGCCTATGGGGGTGTGTCAAACATATGTGTATATATGTTATAGTTTGGTTAGGCTTAGTGGGGTACTCACTGTGGGGTACAACCCCTTAGGTTTCTCCTTTGTACCTTTCACCTCGATAGTCGACACTCACTTTTCCCGTAAGATTCTAACATGAAGAGGAGGATCACTGGCCCATGTGTCCTTGCCTGATATGTGACCGTGGATTTAATACGGTTCAAGGCCTTCGAGACCACCGGAATAAGAAGCATCCGCATCTGTATTACTGTCGCATATGCAGCAATAAGAATGTGTGTATGTCATCCGATCTACCGTATGTGAAGTGCAGGCTATGCGACCAAGAATTTGCTACTCCAAAAGCTGCTGGACAGCATGAGCAGGACGAGCACACTCCCGTCTTGTCGTGTGAAATTTGTGGAGATCGCTTCTACGACAAGGATAAACTCTTAGATCATGAAGATAACGTACATCCGTTCACCTTCAGCTGCCACATGTGTGGCCGTACGTTCAGAACTAACCACTCCTGCGTGCTGTCGGAGCTACCCTTTTCCGCTTCTCCTTGGTCCCTTACCCCCTTGTGTCCTCACCCGTCTGTCTTCCTTCTAGCCCTGCCTTCCCATACCTTGTACAGTCTGTGCTTCCTCAACCACTTTCGGGCTCCCACAGCATGGCTACTAGGAGTGGCTTAGTCACCTAGCTGCAATAGCTTGAGTATGGTAACCGAAATCCACTATGATAGGTAAACAAGTCAAGAGAATTGCACTAGGCTACTTGTGCCTGGCTACCCAGTCGCGCAATTCTCTGCGTGATGGGTTGAGCCCGAGCCGCCTGGGCCTTGGATTGGCCCTCGCCAGATTTCCTGTGTCCCAATGTCCCTGGAATTGCACCCGCAGCGCCCTGCCACCCCCAATGCTACCAACCCTTCGCTTCTCCAATACCCAACTACCTCCCTTATAAATTGAATATCAATTGCTACAGCACTTATACACCTCAATTAGTGTATGTACAGAATATGATGCACTTACCATTAGATTCGGTGACAGCTGACGGAGTTACCCTTTTCCACTTCTCCTTGGTCCTGTACCCCCTTGTGTCTTCTCTGTCTTCTGTCCTCACCCGTCTGTCTTCCTTCTAGCCCTGCCTTCCCATACCTTGTACAGTCTATGCTTCCTCAGCC